CTGGGGTCTGAACAGGCCCAGGTGGGAGGAGGGAGGCAGACTCACACTCGCTTCCGCTGCACCAGCTCCACGTAGTCTTCAGAGCGGGCATAGTACTCGTCAGGGCTAAGCGCACCCCAGAAATTGGACCACAGCTTCCCATGGCGGGACAGCATGGGAGCTATCACCTTCCTGTGGACGAGGCTGAGGTGAGGGCTAGGCAGAGGGGTGAGGCCTTGGGGTGCCTCATGCCAGGGAGGGAGTCAGGGTCCCTGAGGGCTATTTGGGGACCTCTGGCTGAGCCGGGCAACTGACCTGTTCTCCTCGATGAGGATGCGCAGGGTCTGCTGGTTGGTGATGACAGCGTCAGCGTCCAGGCTGAAGTAGAATTCACAGTCGGGGTCCTGCCGACAACTCTCCCTGGAGATGACAGATCCACAGGTGATCTGAAAACAGGGGGCAAGTGGGAGATCTCTCCCTACCCACCCTCTGAGCAGAAGAGGAAGAAAGTGGGTGGAAACACAGCAAAAGGAGAGGAGGAAAAAGAGACTGGGGGGCAGAGGGGGAACCAGTGTGTTTCCTTCCCCAGCCCCTAGGCTCTCGCTTGTCTGTGACCTGGGAAGAGGGCAGGACAGGTGGCGGCTGGGGGGTGTTAACGCCAGGCCGAGGAATGGCTGGGCTGGGTAATGGAGAGGATACGGGAAGGGCGAGTACATCCAGTGGCACACCCCCACCCACTCACATGGCCATGTCTCTGGCCTCGCCTGGGGTCAGGGCCTCCTCTGGCCCCACCAGCTTCACAGCTGAGAAATGGTCCTGGAGCTGAGGCCAGGCGTCTGCCATGTGAGGCTCATGGTACACCTCCTGGAGAAGAGATGGGGGGACTGAGCAGCAGAAAAGATGAGCCTGAGGGATGGAGGGTGGGGGTGAATAGAAAGATGTAGGAAGGCATTTGACACGGGGGCAGGGAAGCCTTAGGTGGAGGGAATTCTGCTCAGGGCTGGGGAAGGGTCCCTTGGGAGAGCCCACAGGGACAGGCCTGCCAGGGCATCTCACACTGTTGTGCAGGAAAAGGGTGACCCTGTCAGGCGGATAGTCCAGGAGCAGCAGCCGCTGCAGGAAGCGGGGCAGGAACGGGGTAGGTTGTTCCACAAACACAGCTAGAAGCACCCGGGGGGGAGGCTGGAAAATACAACGTGATGAGGGTCAGCCCCGCCACTGTCCACTCTCCGAGGTTTGGGGCACCCAGGAGATTTGGCCCACTGCCACCGCTGCTGCCCAGCATGCTCGCCTGTGCCCCTGCTGCGGTGCACTCGCACAGCCTGGCATCCCTCCTCACCTGCCCCCCCGGGAGTGTCCTCCGGTCCTGGTTGCAGAACCCACAGCCTCCCTCAGGAGTCCAGCCATTGGGGACATAGTTTCCCAGGTAATTCAGCTGGAGCTGTTGGGGAGAGACAGTGAGCAGCTGAGGGAGAGGCTCAGGAGCGGGGGTGAGGGTGGTCAGGCAGACAGGTAAGGAGACGGCAGGAGAATGGGAGGAGACACTTCAACCCTCTCCCAGCATCTCTGCTGCAGGGGCTGAGGGCAGGGGCGGGGTTGGGGCAGGGGCTGGGTAGGGACTGGTCTCTGAAGGTATAAGCCATTGGGAGCACCTTAGTGGGACCGTTGCCATGGATCACAACAGGGAGTGTGTCATAGGCCACATTACGAATACGCACACGATTCCGATCAAACTTTAAAACCACTTCATCTGAGGAAGAAAGACCAGGTTTTAGACTCCCTTTCCCTTGAGGCTGCCAAGCAACAGGTTCTCCCAATTTCTCTAGGGCATGAAGGGGAGCCTGGGCCAAAGGGCCCTGGATTGTGGCTCTGCAGGGGCAGGAATAGGCCCTAGGGTTCTCGGCAGGCTGTTACCACCTTAGAGAGCTCCCCCACTTACTCCCATGCCCCCCCCCAAAAAAAAACCTCTGTGCCATCAAGTTGATTCTGACTCACAGCGACCCTATAGGGCAGAATCCTACTGCCCCATAGAGCTTCCTAGGAGCGCCTGGTGAATTCAAACTGCCAACCCTTTGGTTAGCAGCCGTAGCTGTTAACCACTGCACCACCAGGGTTTCTTACTCCCATGTGACCTAAGGCAAATTACTAGTCCCTTACAGTCAGTCTCTTCAGCTGAAAAGGGGAGTAACACAGCATATGTTCACTAGATGTTAGCTATGAGAACCGCTACTGTTATTACTCTTGTAGCACAGTGCAACTTACTTTATCAGCCGCTCTGATGTCTGACGAAGTTAAACACAAAGATGAGTTGTAGACCACACCAGTTCTACCAGGAGCCCCTCCCAAGTACAGGACCCCCAGCAGCAGAGGCCTCTCTCATCGCCCACCCCTGACCCCTGGTCGCCTTTTCTCACCTAAAGCCCCATTGAGGTTCTGAAAGATCCGGGATTTATGATCCAGATTGAGTCTGAGTTTCTCCTATGTGGGATGAGATGGGGCAGTTTATTAAAGGGGAAAGCAGCGGCAGCATCATTTCCCATTCTTTTCTCTTTACATCATCCCCAAACTTCTCTCCCATTCTGCCTGAGGCCTCTCACCCCTGCAGAGCTGTAGGCCATCTCCTCCCCCTCCCCCCACATCCCTCCCTACCCTCAGGCCTGGGTCCAGGTAGAGATGAGTGTAGAACAGCTGGTCATCATCATCATCCTTGTACTTCCACTGGCGGACAATTTGGTGGATGGTGGGGGCGAAGCCGATGAATCCTGGGGGAGGGGGGGCGCTGACCCCAAGACTCCCAGGGTCCCACAGATCTCTCCCAGCTCCCTCTCCAGCCCTCAGGCACCTAGAACGCTCCAAGCCCCACCTCTCTTGGCCCCTCCCCCTCAGGCACTCTGCCACTCACCACCAGAGTTGAGGAAGCGCTTGCCCGTGCCCACCTCAGGGTACTGCTCTGCCAGCCCCCAGTCTGGCCAGCAGAAGCTCTCCGCAGAGAAGAGCAGGCGGCTGCCACTCTGCACGAATTTCTTCAGCAGCTCTGAGGGGTTGCCAGCCAGAATCACATCATAGCTGGGTGAGGAAAAGGGTAGATGAGTGGGCTGGCCAGAGAAACTTAGCTTCCTTATTCCCTCCTCATCCCCTTTCCTGCACCCAGCCCCTTTACCTGTCCACAAACATGATGACCATATCCTCCTGGTCTGCGTATTTCTCCATTTCCTTCCTCAGCCACCTGACCTTCTGTCCTCCACCAACCGTTCTGGCCACATCACCTCCTCGCCACTCCCTGCCCAGGCCCAGGGTCTGTGAAGGAGATCCACAATGTCAGAGCGGCTCAGCTGGCTATGTGGGCCCTCCTGACCAAGCTCACCGTGGGGACCCAGGCATCCAGCCCTCAGCCCACTCCTCCTGCTGCAACCCTCCTCCCTAGTGGCCATGAGGCCCATCCCTCTCCTTACCCGCACAGTATAGTTGAAGAACTCTGCCGACCGCAGGAAACGCCGGTATCCTTCCGTCTCGGCTGTGGCCACGGTAATTACCAGCAGCCTCTCTGCCACCAGCAGAATTGGCACTCAGGACCCACTCCCCTAGCTCAAAGTCCTCCGTGCTTGCGTTCCTTCCCAGCTCTCCGCAGGTCCCCATCCCCTCCCACCGACCCAACTACTGTCCCTTTCCTCTTCTTCCCCATTCCCTCTAAACTTTTTCCAGCCAGGGAAAGTCCGATCCCCCCCCCACGCGCCCCTTACAGTGGGGTAGGAGTGACACCCAAGAATTCGGGCAATTCACGTGGGAAGGCTGGAAACTTCAGTCCAGGGTGGGGAGTGGGCGAGGGGCCGCGTGATTCAGTCCCAAGCAGCGTGCTGGGCAGGGGAGAGGCCGGCCAACCCCGGCTGGCGGACCGTCAGTCTGACGCCCACTCGCCCGGGGTCGGCCCCTCCTGGTTCTCACCTGGGTTAACGCGGTCGCTGCCCCGAGGACGGTCGGAGGCCGAGGCCGCAGGAGGAGGCGGCGGCAGCAGCAGCAGCAGCAGCAGCAACAGCAGGAGCCGGGGTCCTGGGCTCCAGGAGGCCATGGCGGGGAGCGGGCAGGACAGCACACACAGGCCCACACCAGTCTGGGCTGCGCGACTGGATCCCAACTCCGCAGGGGTCTCTGGGAAGGGGGGGCCGGGGCTGCTGTGTGGCCCCCCTGAGAGGAGGAGCAAGGCTGCGGCTCCGCCCTGGAAAAAACTGTAACCGGAGGCTACAGAAAACTCGAAATGCCGGCGCCACAGACAAGGCGAGAATTGTCCTGGGGCGCGGGCGCGCGGGCCGCGGGAGCGAGCAGCGGGGGCGCCGGGTCGATAGGCGGGGAGAGTGTCGCAGTGGCTTGGGCCGGAGGTCCTGGAGCTAAGGACTTTGTCAGAGCCAGTCGGGCCCACCAACGCTTGACAGATGAAGAAACTGTAGCTCAGGGAGGGGAAGTGACCATTCGCGGAGAGTCCGGCGGGAGGCGGAGGCGGGTTCTTGCAACAGCACTGCTTAGAGCGGCGGGGCGGACGCCGCGGAAAGCCGGGGATGGGGCCACGCCTAGCGGAGACGAGGTGAACAGGCCGGCAGGGAGGGAGAAGGCCGGGGAGTTTTCGGCGGAACTGTGGCCCGAGGGAGCTGGGAGTTGAGGTTTCGTCAGACGGTCACTAGGGACCTCTCGGATTTCCCACTCAAGCTGTCCCATGTCTTTGGAAGTCCGGCCCACCACCTCTACTGCCCCGGGAGAGGCTCTAGGGGCTGCTTTTGTGATGATGGCATCATCAGAAGGACCAAAGGAAAATGAAGAAAATTACGTTTTCCCAAAGACCACCCGCACCACCTCTTGACCCCTTTCAGGGGTCCCACAAGATACACAACCATACTAATACCGGAAGTACTATTGCCCCTATGAAATGTGGCGGAAAGCTTTCTTGTCGCCAAGGGAACACCAGGTAGTGAGGCAAAATCTCGGAGTTATTCTGCGCACAGGCCAAAGCACACGCCGCCGGAAGTGAACGTGCCCCTACCAAAGCCTGTGGTTTAGCACGCGTGCGCAGCAGGCTCATCCGTCAGCTGGGTTGTGGAAATGGTGGAAAAGAAAACTTCGGGTAGGTGACCCCCCCCGGCGGTTCGCCCCCTTTCTCCTCCCAAATCGGAATCTGGTTTAGGATTTTCTCACCCAGTTGTTCATCCTAAATCCCTTCTTGGCCCTCGGGTCCTGGCGTCGGGGCAGCCCCCCAAACCATCTATTCCGTTACCTGCTCCAAGCCGGCCGCTGGGGTGGGGAGAGGAAAACGAGCCCTGCCATCCAAGAACTGGCTTTCTAGGAGGGAGACACGCACAGATTCTGCCGTTGCATTTCAGAGTGATACGTGCTATTGCAGAGGGAAGCACAGGGCCTGAATGCAGGGAGGAGCGGCACCCAACCCACCCTCTGACAAGGAGGTGGCCCGGAAGGTTTGGCGGGAAAGAAAAGGCTTGAATTAAATCTTTTTTTTTTTTTTAATAATTTTTTTTTCGATGAAGGTTTACACAGCAGTTTAGGTTTCCATTCAACAATTTCTACACAGATTGTTCAGTGACATTGGTTACATTGTTCACAAAGCGTGAACATTCTCATTTCTTTACTGGATGTTACATTTCCATTAATCTAGTTTCCCTGCCCCCTTACATTCTCATTTCTGTTTTAAAGTAATTGTTGACTGTTTGGTCTCGTAGATTTTTTAAAGGAGTACAGTACTTATGGCTGATATGCATCATTTTGTGAGCCAGTCTGTTATTTAGCTCCAAGGTGATCTCAGGAGTTAGTTTCTGTTCAAGGTTTGAAGAGTATCTCAGGGCAGCAGTCTCGGGGGGGTCCCCCAGTCTCAACCAGTCCAGTAAGTCTGTTTTTTTTTTTTTTTTTTTTTAAAGTAATTTGAGATTCTGTTCCACATTTTTTTCTCATTCTAGCAGGGTCCATCTGTTGTGGCCCTGATTAGAACTATCAGTAGTGATAACCAGGCACCATCTAGTTCTTCTGGTCTCAGGGTAGATGAGGCTGTGGTCTGTGTAGACTATTTGTCCTGTAGACTAGTTTCTTCTTTGAGTCTTTAGTTTCTTTCTTTTTCTTTAGCTCCGGATGAGTAGAGAACCATAGTTGTATCTTAGATGGCTGCTCGAAAGCTTTTAAGACCTCAGACACTACTCACCAAATTAGGATATAGAACATAACTTTATGAACTATATTATGCCAATTGACTGAGATAGTCCATCAGACTATGGTCCTAATCCTTCAAACCCAGAAATTTAATCCTGTGAAGTGTTTGGTTATGTCTAAGTAGTGTTCATAACTGTGCTGCCTATGTGCTTTATCATATATATAAATATATGTGCAGTCACATACATGCATATATATATACATATGCATACATCTATATATACACACACATACAGGAAACCCTGGTGACATAGTGGTTAAGAATTCAGCTGTTAACCAAAAGATGGGCGGTTCGAATCCACCAGGCACTCCTTAGAAACCCTATGGGGCAGTTCTCTGTCCTGTAGGGTCACTATGAGTTGGAATCAACTTGACAGCAATGGGTCTGGTTTCTTTTCGGATACACATGTATGCCTACGTACATACATGCACACACATATGTTTTTTGGTTGTTGTTTCAAAATTATATATGCCATAGCAATTACCAGAGCCCTGGTGGTGCTGTAAAGAGCTCAGCTGCTACCCCAAAGGTCGGCAGTTCGAATCCACCAGCTGCTTCTTGTTTCCTCTGTCCTACAGGGTTACTATGAGTTGGAATCGATTCGACGGCAATGGATTTGGTTTTTGGTTTAGCAGTTACCAGCAGGTCCTTTTTTCTTATGTACATTTTGGTGACATTGTTTACCTTCGTCAGTGTGTGTATACTTCACGCTCATTCGGTGTTACCTTTCCCATCAACAAAAATAACAAGTATCTACTATTTAGAGAGTGACTCTCCTTCCCCGCCCCAAGCCTGGTGACCACTAAGGAAAATTTAGTTTTTGTATATTTACCTGCTCATGTCATTTCATAAAAGTGAGAACATACGTGTTTGTTTTTTTGTGATTGACTTATTTCTCTGAACACAGTGTCCTCCAGGTTCATCCATGTTCCAAGATGTTCAGGGAACTCATTTTTCTTTGTCGCTGAGTAATATTCCATTGTATGTATGTTACCACATTTGCTTATCCATTCATCCCTTGCTGGGCCTTTAGGTTGTTTCCATCTTTTTGCTATTGTGAATAGTGCTGCGATGAGCATGGGTGTGCACTTGTCTGTTTGTGTCACTTCTGTTTTGAATTAACTCTTGAAAGTCAAGTTACGGTTTCGCTCAGTGGAGGTGTGTGGGGACTTATTCCCAGCAGTAGGAACCACATATGCAAAGCAGGGAAACAAGGAAAAGCCAATTGCTTAGGTAGCTACATTCGCAGTTCAGAGCTTGCGGAGGAAAAGGAAGAAGTCTAGAGGGCTGTGGAAGGCTACATTTGGAAAGGCATTATACAAACTGCCAAAGAGTTGGAAGTCTATGGAGAGGGCGGTTAGGAGCCATCAAAGGCTTTTAAGACAGGGGAGTGACTGAAGCAAATTTATCTTTTAGTAAGGCAGTTCTGGCTTCAGTGTGGAGGATGGACGGAAACATTTGCGCAGTATTGTCCAGTAATTTCTGGGAAGATGGAAATGTTCTTAATCTGCATTGTCCAGTATGGTAGCCATTAGGCACACATGGCTGTTGAGGGCTTGAAATGTGGCTAGTATGACTGAGAAACTGAATTTTAAATTTAACTTAATTTTAATGTGAATGACTACATGTGACTAGTGGCTACCTTATTGTACAGCACAGGTCTAGAGGCCGTAAGGCCAGTTAGGCAGCTGTTGAGTAGTCCAGACAAGAGATGAGGCTCTGAATACTGCTGGCAGATTGATTTTCTAGTAAACCCAATCAACGGATCTCTAGCACCCTCCCTATAAAATCCCCAAATCCAAACTCCTTGAGATACTTAAAGGTAAATCTCTTAATGGTCTGCCTGCCCTGTTCCACATCCCGACCCCCCACTCTACATACCAGCCATACTGAACTTTTTTCAATTTACTGAAGCACCACAGTCTCCCATTCAGGCCTGAAACACCCTCTCCTCTCCCTAGTCCAGGCTAGCTTCTCTTCATCAGGCAGGCTTCAGCCTAGACTTTTACCTTCCTCTGGGAAATCTTTCCTGACCCCTCCAAGGCCAGAGGAGTTGCTCCTTTCATGTGCTCTATAGCACTCTGTACTTCCCTTCCTAGCATGTCCTCTGCTATACTGTGCTTGTTTGTTTAATCGTTTCCATTACCCCACTAGACTGTCAGCTCTTGCTCTATTCCTAGAACCTAGCTCACTGCCCGGCATTTGCAAGCGAGGCAGTCCAGTGTAGCAATCGAGAGCAGTGTTTTAGTGCTGGGCAGTTCTGGGTTTGAATTCTGACCCTGCCACATACTAGTTGTGTGGACTTTGGGCACGTTTCTTAACCTTTGAACTTCAGTAAATTGGGGATGATAATGATACCTATCTCAAAGGGTAATTAGGATTAAATGATTTAATGTATTCTAAGGGCTTAGTATAGTGCCTGGCACATAAAAGTGGTAGCTGCCAATGCTTCTGCTATTATTATTATGGTTACAGGCACGCCTCAGTAAATATTTGTTTAATGAATAAAGAGAATTTATGTGTAGCATTATTGGAAGCTGGTGAACAGTGAATACAGTATTGAAAAAAATTTAAAAGGCCTTCTGGGTTTCTGGTTTGGATGTCTGCGTAGGTGGTTCCATTTACTTAGAGAGAGGCTACAGGATGAGAAACAGACTTGATGGGTAGATTTTTAATTTTGAGTTGCCATGTCGTGGGGTCAGTAGATGATTCCCTACAGCCAGTTGAACAGCCAGTTCTGGGGCTCAGGAGAGGGTTTCGGGTTGAGAGAATCACTTTTGGAGTCATTTGCATGTGAGTGATAGTTAGAGCCCTGTGTTTGGATTAAAAATTCCAGGAAGAGTGCATAGACTGAGAAAGGAGAGAGGCAGGGAGGGTGGCTAAGATGGGAGACTGAGAAGCCTAGCCAGAGAGCAAGGAGAACCTTGAGTCATGTCATGGAAGCAAAGGAAGGGAGTGTTTCAACCCAAGGGAGGCAGTCAACAAAGTCACAGGGCGTAGAGAGCTTAAGTGAAAGGAAGATTTAAAAAATGCACACTGGACTTGGCAGTAGGTCACCAGTGTCCTGAGTGCGGGCAGTTTCCACTGAACGATCAGGTGGGAGTTGGGTTGTTGGGGGTTGAGAAGTGGATGGGAGGTGAGGAGATGAAACATCACAGGGAGCACTCTTTCAAAAAGAGTGGCTATAAAGTTGGGTAGACACACAAGAGTTTAGCAGGTTTTCCTATTGAAGGGAAAGTACCAGTTGAGGAGGGGGATTGAAGATGCAAGACGGAGGGGATGGACTCTGGAGGTGTAGGATCGGGTTGAGCGGTGGAGCTTGGGTGCTGTGTGCACCTGGAATGGGGAGAGGGCATTCTGTGTGCACTTCTGTCTCAGGGTGGGCTGAAAGATGAGTGTCATTATGTGTGTACGGCCCCTGTTTCCTTTGTGGTAGGACATGAGACTGCTGAGTGTGAAGGCCAAGTATATTAAGGTTCCAGCTGAGCCTGGAAGCCCCAGATGTATAGTGGCTTCTATTGGTATGGTTGTGTGACTTCTGCCAGCAGCAACACGTCTCGAGGAAGCATTTCATTGGCTGGCTCTGGGATTGGGAGGAAAGGCTAGGGCATGAGTGGCTGAAATAGTAGTCTTAGCTGGGAAGGAAGCAAAACTAGAAGGGAGAAGAAGTAGGGCCAAGGGCTTAGTGAGCTGGATGAGATCAGAGAACTGTGGCTCCCTGCCCCTGACATCTTCCACTCACTGCCCAGAGCCAAGGCTGGCCCAACTTCCCTCTTCTTTGTGCCCCTCCACTCTGCCCCCACTCATAAATCTTCTTGCCCTGCCCCATTCAGTTCGCTCCCAGGACCCCGGACAGCGGCGGGTGCTGGACAGGGCGGCCCGGCAGCGCCGCATCAACAGGCAGCTTGAGGCATTGGAGAATGACAACTTCCAGGATGATCCCCACGCAGGACTCCCCCAGCTTGGCAAGAGGCTTCCTCAGTTTGATGATGATACAGACACTGGTGAGGCGGATGGGAGGAGGAAGGAAGGTTTGGGGAGAGGGAGACAAGGCTGAAAGGAAGGGGAAGAGTCTGTCAAGGTCAGGGTTGTGGGAAGAACATCAGGCTGGGAAGCAGATGACCCAGCAGCCCTTCTGGCTCTGCCAGTGACTGGCCTCTCTGACTGTGAGCCAGCTGCTACCCGCTCTGTGACTCCTCTTCCTCTCATGTATGTAGAATAGAGAAGATGGAGTTGATGAGTTCTGAGATCTCTTCTAGCTTTGACATAAGGCTTTAGATTTGTGGATTATGAAGACAAAGTTAGGCTGGGATTTGAGAAGTAGGGGGTAAGGCGGAAAAGATGGTAGAGAGAGGCAGACATAGAACACAGGACAAGTGGGTATCGGAGGGTGACGAGACAGAAAAGAATGCTGTCTGTCATGGATTGAATTATGTTCCCCAAAACGTATGTTTCAATTTGGCTGGGCCATAATTCCCCGGTATTGTGTGATTGTCCACCATTCTGTCATCTGATGTGATTTTCCTATATGTTGTGAATCCTGCCTCTAGGATGTTAATGAGGGGGGATGGGCGGCAGTTGTGTTAGTAAGGCAGGACTCAATCTACAAGATTGGATTGTGTCTTGAGGCGATCTCTTTTGAGATATAAAAGGGAGAAGTGAGCAGAGAGACGGGGACCTCATACCACCAAGAAAGCAGTGCCGGGAGCAGAGTGTGTCCTTTGGGCCCTGGGTCCCTGCGCAGAGAAGCTCCTAGTCCAGGGCAAGATTGATGAGAAGGCCGACAGAGAGAGAAAGCCTTCCCCTGGAGGTGATGCCCTGAATTTGGACTTTTAGCCTACTTTACTATGAGGAAATAAACTTCTCTTTGTTAAAACCATCCACTTGGGTATTTCTGTTACAGCAGCACTAGATGACTAAGACAGTGTCTTTCTTGCCAAATGTCAAGCAACTGATTGCTCTTGACCCCTAGGAAAGAAAAAGAAGAAAACGCGAGGTGATCATTTTAAACTTCGCTTCCGAAAAAACTTTCAGGCCCTGTTGGAGGAGCAGGTGAGAGAGAAGCCAGCCTGGGAGGGCCCTTCCGGGAAGGCATGAGCCTGGGGGTCTCTACGCCGCGGATGGTTGCTACACGGGTGGGAGGAGGAGCCACACAGCCTGCCCCTCTTGTCTCTGCAGAACCTGAGTGTGGCTGAGGGCCCCAACTACCTGACAGCCTGTGCGGGACCCCCCTCCCGGCCCCAGCGCCCCTTCTGTGCTGTCTGCGGCTTCCCTTCCCCATACACCTGTGTCAGCTGTGGCGCCCGGTACTGTACGGTGCGCTGTCTGGGTACCCACCAGGAGACCAGGTAAGCTTGGTGCCTCACCCAGGTCATACCCACTCCCTCCTACCTGCACAGCTCAGCAGACCTCTCTCCTTATCCTGGGCTTCCTCTCCCTCTGAAGGTGCCTGAAGTGGACCGTGTAAGGCTGGACGTCCCCGGAGAGGAAGGCCTTCACCTTGGCCTCACAGAGGGCATCGCCAGAAGGAAAGGGGATCCCCCTGGACCAAGAGAAGAGCCGTTCAGTCACCCAGCAAAACTTGTGTCTTACCTACCAGGGGAAATCAGTCTTATTTCCAGGGACTGTTGGCAGGGAAGTGGGCTGAGCCCTCAGAGTACTATAGTAATAAAGGTCTAATGCGAAGAGGAGCCTGCCTGTTTGGTCAGTGGTATTTTGGGGGTGAGGGTGATGGGTCACCTACTCAGTGCTGCCTCTTTTACTCCTACCTGTCATTCGTTCCTCCAGCTGTCCGGCCCTTGTCTTTCACCTGCCCCCTGTGTCCTTGACCATGACAGATTTTGTCCCATTCTCCTGCCACTCCCATGTCTCTGCCTTTCTTGGCTGCTTCTTTATGTCCTTTTTCTTTTTTTAGTTATTAATTTTGGTCTTTCGCTTTTTGTTTCTCTAGTTCCTGTGAGTATCTTCAAAGTACAGCTAGGCCCTGGTACTGGGCAACAGGGAAATGGAGTGAGGCTTGGGGAAGAAGGGTGCAGGATGATACTGCAGAAGGAGGCAGTCCTGTCTTTGTTGTCTGGTACTTAATCAAATGGAAGGGATTGGGCCTTTGTCCTTGGTGCCACCACTCTGAGGGAGGAGTTGTCTTAGGAAGCCCCTGTTCCCAAGGACTGCTGTATGTGAAATTATTAGCAGCACAGTAGAAAAGAAATGTCTAGGAACCATAGGAGAAGTCCTGGTATAGAGACTTCTGTTCTTGGTGGCCTTAGCTGCTGTGTAACTCTTGTGTGGTAATAAAGCTTCTTAGACCCACATCTTGTCTCTAAATACATTGTGAGCTGTAAGCTCCTTGGAGTTGCTGTATTAAGCCTACTGAGCACATAGCAAAGCAGGTATTTGTTGAACAAATGACCTTAATAAGATGTTAATGGAACCCAGAAAAGTCAGTTAGGTACCTTGTTAGACTCTTCTCTCCATTTTTGGGAACTTTCTTGGGGGTTGGTGCAGATGTTCCCAGTGTTTTCTCAAGGAACTACTTTCTCTGAAGACTTATGGTGGGCAAGTGGTGGTGGTGAGGACAGGGTGTAGAGATAATATGTGTGGTGGTTTTAAAAATGGCTGTAAATTCTTTGTCTTTCCATCAAAAGTTGGAGTCTTTGTTCTCTTTCCTAGAATCTTGACTGCTTCAGCTAATAGAGAATGGCAGAAGTGATACATGTCATTCAGTGCTAGGTCACAGAAGGCCAGTGCAGCCTCTGCCTTTGCTGCTAGGACACTTGCTCTTGGATCGCTGAGGCACCATGTAGGAGATCTAACTATCCTGAAGCCACCATGCTGTGAGGAAGCCCAGGCTATATGGAGAGGCCATATGTAGGTGTTTCTGTTGACAGCCCCAGCTGAGCCAAGCCTTCAGGTCATCCCAGCCCAGGCTTCAGTCATGTGAGCGAAGATTCCTCCAGATGATTCCAGCCACCAGCCACCAAGTCACCCTCAGCCATTTGAGTCTTCCCAAACATCACAGATGAGAAACAAGCCATCTCTGGTGTGCCCCATCTGAATTCCTGACCTACAGAATCTGAATGTAATAAAATAGCTGTTTTATGCCATTGAGTCTTGGGATGGCTTCTTATGCAGAGTAGATGGCATCAGTAGTTGTCATTGGCTTTTGTCCTCCTTCCGGGCAAGGGGCACATGTCTCCCTGCAGAGCTTTCATGGCCTTTCAGAATTGTAAGACACTCTTTGAGAGAGAAATCCACTCATGTTCTGACAGAGGACGTCACGTGGCCCAGTACTTGTACATTGTTACACTAAGGGCCCCCGATGAAACATGCATCCCAGTGTCTGAGTTCCTGTGTAGTCCCTTCCACATTGGCTTTGAACTTGGCCATGGGACTGGCTTTGACCAGTGGTACATCTCAAACTTTACAAAAGCAGAGTGTGGAGGGGGGTAGGATATGCAGGTTTCTCCAGTCTTAATTGGCCATGGAACCCTTTATGTGGGGAGCACCTCAGAAAGCACTAGTATTCCTGGCTGGTGCACAGTAGGAAACCCTGGCGTCTGAGGCCTTGTGAGTAGTCCAGTTTGCTGGGGGAGCATGGTTTATATGGACAGAAAGGTTGGCTAGGACCAGGCAGTATGTCAGGTCTCAATTATCTTGGCCTTTTTTTCTGAGGTAGTGGAGAGCTGCCAGAGCAGGAATGATCTGGCAGAGGAATATGGAAGGGATTAAGAAGACAGGCCAAGCAGCTCAATGAGAATATTCCGGTAACGGGTCTATGCAAGAGAGGATGAGTGCCTGACCCAGGGCCAGCAGTGGAGAAGGGAGAGAAGTAGATAGATGGTTTCAAAGCTGTTAACAGGAATGACGGGAACTACAACATTGGGGAAAATTGATGGCTTTGATGTGCCTAAGCCCTGTCTGGTAAAACTATACAGTGGATGGATGTACTTCTGAAGCACAGGGCCCGGTTAGAATGCACATGTGGGAGTTCCCAGTGCAGGAGAGGATGAGATTAAAAAGGGAAGGTGCTGAGGGCAGAGCCCTGTGGCATAGCAAGTGACTGATCACTACACTCTGTGATGCAGAGGATAGGTACTAGGATAGAGCCCTATTCCCTTCTTCCTCCATTTGATGTCAAGCTTCTTTCTAGCAGCCTCATTTTCCTGTTTCAAAGAGGTACCAGCCTTACTCAGTACCCACGGGGCCTGTGTCAAGTCTGCCCATAACCCAGTACCATATCTGAGCTGGATGCCAGCAAACCACATACACACCACTGATATCCCAGCCTCTGTGAACACAGACCTGCAGAGCCTTTTTGGACTATGGCTCTCATTCACAATCTGGTGGGAGTTGTTGGGCCTTCTCCATAAAAACACTTGCACCTGACCCAGTTAATCTGAAACGCAATTTCAAAGGGCTTGGCAATTCCTGAAACCCACTCTCACACCCAGGTTAAGAAACTGCTTGAGACCATCCATGTCCTGGTACAGCTGTGAGAAAACAGGTTGAGAGTGAAAGCAGTGATAAGAAATCTCGAGCTGACCAGAGGGGCTTCCCTGCTATTTTCAGTTTCCTAGAGCTGGCACTTCCCACCTGTGGTGGTTAAGGTTGTGTGTCAACTTGGCTGGGCCATGATTCTCAGTGGTTTGGCAGTTGTGTGATGTTGTGATCACTTCCATGATGAGATTTGATATAATGTGATCACCTCCATGAAGGGATCTGCTGTGAGTAGCCAGCCAGTTGAAAGGGAGTTTCCTTGGGCATGTGGCCTGTGTCAAATATAAGTGGACATTCTGGCAGGGCTCATGGGCTTTTTGCTGGTTCTAGATCCTGCAGGGGGCTCCTGTTCATGTGACCTCCAGTTTCTTGAGACTTGAGTTAGCAGCTTACCTGCAGTCTTGCCTGTCGATCTTGGGATTCATCAATCTTTGCAGCCTGTGAGCAAGAGCCCTGCTCTCTGACCTGCTGATCTTGGGTTCCTCAGCCCCTGCGGCTACGTGGATCAGGAGATGCCTCTATCCTGCCCCACGGACTTGGGACGTTGAAGCCTCTACAACCTCATGAGCCATGTCCTTGATATAAATCTTCCTCTCTGTATATTTATATATGCCTTACTGGTTTTGCTTCTCTAGAGAACCCAGTCTAAGACACCACCTCTGCCCTTTATGACTTTATCAGTAATTAATTATATGCCATATTTCTTGAAATCACTTAAAACCCTGCCTTTCTTACTGGATGAGAGAGCCCAAAGGCAGTGGAGAGGGTGACAGTCTGGAGTCTCTGAGATGACCCCTGGTGCCCTTCCCCCCGTTATGTTATGGATTGAATTGTGTCCCCCCAAAATGTGTATCAACTTGGCTAGGCCATGATTCCCAGTATTGTGTGATTGTCTACCATTTTGTCATCTGATGTGATTTTCCTATGTGTTGTAAATCCTACTTCCATGATGTTAATGGAGCCCTGGTGGTGCAGTAGTTAAGAGCTTGGTTGCTAACCAAAAGGTCAGCAGTTTGAATCCACCAGCCCCTCCTTGGAAACCCTATGGGGCAGTTCTACTCTCTGTCCTATAGGGTTGCTGTGAGCCGGAATCAACTCTACAGCAACAGGTTTGGTTTGGTTTATGATATTAATGATGTGGGATTAGAGGCAGTTATGTTAATGAGGCAGGACTCAATCTACAAGATTAGGTTGCATTTTAGGTCAATCTCTTTTGAGATATAAAAAGAGAGAAGCGAGCAGAGAAACAGAAGGACTTCATACCACCAAGAAAGTAGTGCCAGGAGCAGAGCGTGTCCTTTGGACCCGGGGTCCCTGTGCTGAGAAGCTCCTTGACCGGGGATGATTGACGACAAGGACCTTCCTCCAGAGCCGACAGAGAGAGAAAGCCTTCCCCTGGAGCTGGCACCCTGAATGCCGACTTCTAGCCTACTAGACTGTGAGAGAATAAATTTGTTTGTTAAAGCCATCCACTTGTGGTATTTCTGTTATAGCAGCACTAGGTAACTAAGATAGCACTCCTACTTGGCCAGCTGCTTTATGATATGCTCAACCCCTGAACAGTTCACAATATAAATTTATTTACTTATGCATGTATTTACATAGGAAACAGACACTCAGGGACACCCAAAGCCCAGACTCAGTAGATAAAGAGGGGTCCAGCCTCAGGAGTCCATGTGAGTTCTCAGGAGGCAGATTCTCGGCTTGGGGGAGCAGAGGGGTGCCCAGATGAAGTCAGAGCTCAGGGCAGCCTCTTCGTGACAGGTGGAGCCTGGAGTGTGGCTGGCCCCTGAAGTTATCTCAGGGAGAATAGGTGGAGGCCTGGGGCCCCGGGGTCCCGAGGATCCCGCCCTCCGCTGGGGGCAGTAGGAAGGGAAATGGGGTCCACAGACCAGGCCTCCTAGACGTAAGCGTGTATCCCGTATTGGTTAGGGCTGTCGAAGACTTCTTCATCCGAGGCCGTAGGGGCCAGGTGGGCAGAGAGGCGAACGGACTGCGTCTTGGTCTGGGAAGCCTTGTAGGGCAGCCGGGGGCTGTCCCCGAGCGGGGCTGGGTCAGACGCCTAGTCTGTGGCCCTGCCCACCCCGTCGCCCCCCCGCCCCCACTCGCAGTTCGCCCCTCCCTAACCTGGCAGCCGGGGCAGCGTCGTCGTCAGGACGGCAGCAACAGTTTGAGCAGAGGAGGATGCCGCCCAGCATGCAGAGCAGGGAGGCGCTCCAGCCCAGGTAGAGGGCAGGGCCTAGCTCATACCTGGGAACAAAGACGGCGCGAGGGGAGGGGGAAAGAGCGGGAGGTGAGGAGCTGGTGGGGAGGCAGTAGCTTGGGGGACAGGGCCTAGTCCAACCCACTGCCCCAAGGGTGGGGTTCCACACTCACTTGGTTCCAGCATACAACGGGTCAAAGAAGTTCTGGGTGATGTTGGCGGCGTACCAAGAGATGGCCACCATCCCGCAGAGACCTGGGGGAAGTGGGAGGACCGCACTAGCGCCCCACTCTGGCTCCCTCAGCGGAAGGGAACTTGGGAAGGGCCAAGCACAGGACAGCCCAGATAGTAGGAGGTGGGCATCAAGTTCAAGCAGCAATTTCATTGAATCCCTTTCTTTTCCTCTTCCTGGTTTATAAAACTTCCTATTTCCTAGGGCCAACCATAACTTCTCAATCCAACCCTCAGGACCCCAACTCCAGCCCTCCTTTCTGGTCTCATCTCCCACCCACTCTGCACCTCAGCCCGCCTCTTACCCCTTCTTTGTCCCACACCTGCCTTACTCATTCTACACTAGAGTCTTGATCACATAGTTTCCTCACTTGCAATCTGCCCCATCCAATTCCTACCCATCCATGAAAGCGCAGCTGCTCCAGGAAGTCTTCCCTGCCAGCCTTGCCTATCCCGACTTCCTTTTCCTTTGGGCTCCCAGAGCCTTCTGAGCCCGTAACAAGCCTTTGCCACTGAGTTCAGTGAGCGGCTGCAGCCCGACAGACCCCTGGGCTGTAGGCCTAGCCTTGCTGCTTACTGGGGGTCTTTCAGTATGACAGCTGGCCTTCTTGAGCCTGTTTCCTCATCTGGAAAACAGGACCATACCTTCTCACCACATCGCACAGGTTTATTGTGAGATGATGCGTACAGAAATGTTTTGCAAACTGAGAAGTGGTAGGCAATTGTAAGGTCTTGTTACTGTGCACAGTGTGCATGTGTGTACATGCACTCCCATCCCACCTCTGGTCTTTCAGCCAGACTGTAAATTCTGGAGGGCAGGGGCTGACTCTCTTCTTTGAAGTCTCTCCCATACCCAGCTCATGGCTGGTTTACAGTAGGAGCTGAAGGACTGACTTGGAGCCCAGGGATTTGGTGAGTATGGGTGAAGGTGGGGTGGGCAGGCAGAGGGGTAAGAGCTGAGCATGGGAGGGCTGGTGTCAGCACAAAGGGGAGGGTGAGGCAAGCGCCAGCAAGTTTTCCCCAGGAGTGGAGAGCTGGAGATGGACAGAGAACCCAGAGTCTGCTGCCAAGGGTGACCCCAGCCCCCCATTGCAGGCCCAGTGCCCACCCAGCACTCTCCCCCAGTTACCAGCCAGTATGTCCAGGGCCCCAGCGGTGGCTGCCAGCTTGTCTTTCCTGGACAGCACCATGCTCCCAATGTTTGTGCAGCGCAGCCCCACTATGCCCAGGAAGAGGCCCAGGAAGCCCAGGAGGATGGCGGTGATCATGAGTGCCCGGCAGGCCTGGATGTACCCTGGGGAGGTGGGGCACAGCTGTCAGTCCCCTGACCAGGCCCTCTTCCATCTCCTCTCCCTCCTGTGACAGAACCAGCCCCTGACAGCCTCTCCTCAGGTCTCCGTTTCTTGCTCCAGTCTTCTCCCTAAAAGTCCTCAAGTCCTCTCCTTCCCCTTCAGGTTCCATCCAGCCTCTCAAGCTCTGAGAAGTCACACCTCCTTCCTTCCCAGAAGCTCCCTGAAACCCAAATAAATGAATCTTGTCCTCACACGCCTCTTCCCCAACCCCGGAACCGGTACACTTTGCTTGTATGTTTATTAAAGGGTCTTTCAACCTCGGCACTACCAACGTTTCAGGCTGGGTAATTCTTTGTTGCGGGGGGCAGGGGGCACGCAGCTATCCTGTTCAATGTAGAATGTTCAGCAGCATCTCTGGCCTCTACCCACTAGATGCCAGTAGCAACTACCCCTACCAGCTGTGACAATTAAAAATGTTTTCAGACACTGAAACATTGAGAACCACTGCTCTATGAGATCACATGCCATGTTCCGTGTGTATTATAGAAACTGCGCCAGAGCACCCTCCTCCCACCAGGTTCCTCTCCATGTCCCACTTAGTGCCCAGCACAACACTGGACACATTGAACTGAGTTTGTTCCTGGAGTAACCAGGAGGGGGCGTTGGTGGCCTATGAGAGGGTAGAGGGCATTTTTAATCTGGAAGGTGGGATACCTGGACCCAGGACCAATACAGGTTAGTCTAGCTCAAATTCTTTCAGTGCCTCAATTTCCCCTTTCTTAAAGCTGAAGGGAACCACTGGCTCCCTTTTGACCCCCCTCCTCTATCTTCTGTCGTTGATAGCTGCCAAGCACTACCAAGGACCTTGCACCCCTTTCCCGGGTGGGGCAGTTCCATTAGTGGTTAAAGGGGAAAGGCTGGTCCCTTGCCAGGAGGATATGGAATGGCCACGAATTGGGGGCAGGGAAGAGGGACAAAGTTCTCTGGGGACACTGTCTCATTTCAAGTCACTCCCTCTGGAGTTCCTGCTTTCTTCCCCTACCCTATATCCCTTCCCCACCCACCTCCACCAGGGGCAGAGACCAACTCTGGATCCCCATGTAGCTCTGGCAGCCAAAGGAGAGAGGATCATTGAAGGCCTTGAAGAGCATGGACCTCATGACCGGGGATGGGGGTGCTCAGTTGGGAGATTAAGTGAAAGTCAGGGACCCTCTCACTGGGCTCTGGACTCAGATACAACCGAGCCTGAACTCCAGCTCCGCATCTACCACCTCTGTGACTCTGGGCAAGTTGCTTAAACTTGTAAAGATTTTCCAACTTCCCCCCAACAGCAGGGTTGCTATAAATGTTAAATGAAATATGTATCTGGAAGTATCTAGCACAATGCCCGAACTCAGATGACGCCAATGATGGCTAGCTGCATTCTCTGCTCATCCCCCCAAGCACACTTATGAACCTACATGTCTTCCACATGCTCCATGTCCTCTCTTGGGCCAAGCGCAGGAATTCCAAATGGGGCCTCTCTTGGGTGGATGGGCTCACAGCAAAGTCCCCTCACACCAGAGAAGGCCTCCTGAGCTCATGGTGTGGTTGAGGGGTAGGGGAGGTAGGGATGGCTGAGGTTGCTGAGTTGGTCACCTCCAACGTCTCTTTGGGCCACCCAGCACTTTGGGCTTCTGGCCCAGATCATATTCAGCTTTCATACAGGTTTTTTTTTTGGACGCTTGCCTTGCACTTAGTAAGTATTGAAGAAATGGGTGAAAGTATGAGGACCCTGCTTTGGCGGGCACTACTATGGCGACAGAAAGATGAAAGCAGCTGCCTCCATAGATTTTGGCATTAGTAGGGGCACAACAGGCCCACCCAGATCCCCTAATTCTCTGGGAGAGAATTTGTGAAGCCCTGCTCCAAACCCAGTGTTAGCCTCAGTTTCTCTCTCCCACCAACCCGGCACCTACAGTACAGTGCCTGGAAGAGTAAGATGGCTCCAGGAAGACCTAGTGAGGGGGCTGGGGAATGGGCACGCACAACGTTCATGGCCATCTCCTCTTGGTCTCTAGCATGGAGCAGACTGAAGGTACATTCCCCAGGGAAGGTGATGGGGGGCGTTGATCATACGGGGCAAGCAGGAAGCAGGAGGATGCCACAGCCATCAGAGAGAAATGTTCTGGGTCAAGAGCTATAGGCTGTAGCCCTCCAAAAGCCTTGAAAAATACACTGCCCCGAGAGCTCCAAACACAGGATACACACACACCACCTCCCTACACCAGACTTTTAGACCCGCAAGAAGACTCCCTTCCACTGGACCCAGGACTTAAAAAGGCCCTTCAGAACTCAGCATGAGACAGTGAGACCAACATCCCGGCCAGTGGAAACCTGGTACGGCCACCAAGACTGCAAGTGCATCAACCCCCAAGAACCCAAGATGGGGCCCCCTTCTCACCCTTTAACCCGTTAGCCCATCCAAAAATAAAATGCTAAAATTTTTGCGTCCAGATATATACTAACACCATGCCAACATTTTGCATGTTTTAGCTCATATAACTCTCACATACACTCTGAGCTGGTACTATGATTTTCCTAACTTTACAGATGGGCAAAATGCAGCTCATTTTATGACTTGCACAAGGCAGAGGTAGCAAACGGCAAAAAGGAGTTGAACCTGGTGGTCTGACTCCAGTGCCCCATTGGTAATCACTAAGGTGGAGTGCCACATTAGGGCAGGGGGCCATTTGTGACAAGGTCTCCACTGCTGTTCCAAATGGGGGCTGCCTGAGCATTCCCGGGCCCCGAGGCAATATTCTGAGCTATGTGCGTCTGGTCCTGTGGTCATCCAAGGCCTGACCACAGGCAGTGCCCACCCTCCCGTGGGATCTCTCCCTCCAACCTCCCACCTCCTTTTGCTTCCCAAAGCTCTCAACCCTGTACCAGAGAGGGCCAGCATGGACGGGAACTCCCAGCAGTTGTAGACTCCAAGGGAGTCGGTAGCACAGCTATGCCAGAGGTTCTCGAAGATGGTGTTGGTGGTGATGACGTTCCCGTGCACGGTGGACACTCGCCAGTAGCTGTGTGGCAGAGTCACCCCCAGCATCAGCAGCCCCAGGGCTGCCATGAAGAAGCCAAAGGTCTCTACAGCCATCGACATGGTGGAGGCAGGGCCCTGAGGGGCACCTGGGCCTGGGGCCCCAGAGAAAGGGAGGGGCTGAACCCAGGGGAACTAGAAGGGGCTTTGGCTAAGGCAGGCTGGGGAGGAAGAGGGAGCGGCAGGGCTGGTCCTGTCTCCTGTGTTCTGTCTCCCTCCTCTCTGGGTCTCTGCTTCCCAATAGATGAGAGGAAGGAGCCACAAGTGCAAGCAGCAGCTGTTGAGGAGATGGAGGGAATAAACTGAACAGGCCAAAAGTCCACCTCCTCCCCCAGCCTCTGGGCCGCCTCAGGCTCCCCGCCCCACAAGGCGGGGGGGACTTACCAGGGAGTGACTAACGGATACAGCCTAGGAGCGGCTCCCATAGGAGGCATTTCGAGCCAAGGGGAAGCTTCTGTCTCTGACTTAACTTTCATCGGGGGCCAAAGAATGGAGTAAGAAGGACAAGGAGACAGAAGGTGACTGAGAGACATGAGAGAGACAAGAGACAGAAAACAGACAGGTGTACTCCCCACTCCCCCAGGAACACCCCAAACTGCACCCTTCAATGGAAGAGTGAGGGAACAAAGCCATCCCCTCTGGATGGGGAGAACAATCCAAGCAACTCAAAGCCCTGGGGTGGGGACATCTGCATCTCCAAGGAAGAGTGAGGCTGAGCAAGGGACAGGTAGTGGGAGAAATCGAAAGCTCTGGAGTCTGACCAACCTGGACTCCAACTGGACTCCCTTATTGACCAAAGTGACTTGGGCATAGATTTTTAGCCCCTTTGTTTCTGTAAACTAGAGATAATACTACTTACCTCATAGGTTATCACAAGAATCGTGACCATAGATCAAAGCTCCCAGCCCGTATGAATTGCTTGATCCTTGATCCTGGGTCTGGGTGCCAAAGGCCTGGGGGGAGGCCACCAGGGGATTGCTTTCCTCCAAACTTCCTGAGCTCCAATTTTCCCCTCACATGGGTTGATCTTTGACTCTCATCAAGGAGCTTGATCCGGCTGCCAATCTTTCTAACAAGCTCAGACTTATCAGGAACTGTCACCAGCTCAATTATGATGGATTAGAAATTTCTAGAGTCCCCACCCCGAGCCAAGGCTGAGCACCTGTCCTGGTATAATTGGTTTTACTTCCTGCCTCAAGAGGTTGCCCAAGGCCAGAGCCACGGCAGCTGCGGGTCTCTTTTGGCAAGTGGAGCCAGGGCTCAGTCTCTGAAACGCTGATCCTACACCCAGGCACACTGGACGCCACTGAGCCAGAAGAGCGCTGGCTGGAAGTGTAACTCCCCACTCTCCCTTTCTTCATGTCAGGCTCCTCTGGGCTCCCCCCAGATGCCTCCCTCACTCCCCACCCCCATCTGGGCTGGTTTGGGCTGTGGAACGAAAGGTATGCAGTGAAGCCGAACAGGCCCACGCTGAGCCTGGCACGAGGGGGTGTAGGGCAAAGCAGGCTGGGTGGGGACTGGGTCCTGCTTCCATCCTGGAGGCCAGAACTGGGGTATCCTGAGTCCCTAACCTCTCCTGAGACTCCTGCTCACTCCATGTTGGCAGTTTCCCTCCTCCCAGCAGTGGCTCCCCCTTCCCCTCAGAATACGTAAAGGAGGGGGAAGATGCAGGAAATCAAAGGGTGGAGGCTTTGGAGGAAACCAAGCAGGGAGGCTTCTCGTGTGGAAAACTCCACACGCTGAGAGGCAGCTGAGTGGGCCAGAGGAGACAGGATGCATAAATCTCAGCCTGCCCCTCAGCTGTACCCAGTCCTCCTCTAATCTGCTTGTTCCCAGGATCCCAGGGCTGTGCAAAGGCCACATCCCTGTGCTGCCTACCACTGCTCAGGGATGTGGCGTTGGAGGAGGGGGAGGAAGGAAGGGTGCGGGGCCTGGGCAGTTTGGCGGACAAAGGAGAACCTAACACCAGGCCTGGAGGGTAGAAAAGCACAGAGCAGGAAAAGACTCATGCATGATCCCCTCTACCGTCTGTGCCCAATGTAACCTGCTCTCCCTCAATAGAGACAGTGCCAATTCCCAAGCCAAAGCTCAATTTTATTTACATTCATCCCAAAGCACACGATTTGGGGCTAAAGGACAGGTTTCCGGAGAGACGAGGCTGAAGGCCATAGAGGACAGTGACAGGGGTGCAGGAGAAGAAGAGGGAAGGGACAGTGAGGATGGGGCCCTCTTCAAGTGTCCTTCATGCCTAGCCCCCAAACTCGGTAGGCCCCTTCGTCTCCTGTGAGCTTGGGCCAGGCTGTATCCCCTGGGCAGAAGAAGTGCAGTTGCCTTCAGGATTTGGACTTGGATACTGCAAGCCCGATGAGTCCAGCTAGTCCTGCCACGCCCAGGGCCATGCCTCCAACAATGGCCATGCCCACCAGTCCATCTGGGGTAAAGCAAAAGGGAGACGGTGTCAGGAACCCAGTCCCAGCCCTCAGGGACTCTTGCAATCATCTTCTCCCTAGCAGAAGACCAGCCTCCCTACCTTGAGTCATGGGGAGAGGGACTCCAAGGGTTGGAGACAGAAGGCTTCTGGTGAGGGATGGGGGCTTTTGAGGAGGGGAGTCATTTAAAGAGGACAGAAGCACCTAGGCATGGGGGAAGGAGGAGGTCTGAACACAAACATAAAAGAGTTCAGAGGGATGAGGAACAAGGGGTTAGGGAGTGAAGGAAGTCGGGGGGAGAAGGGCAGAGAGGAAAGCTTTCACCTTTCTTCATGGCCTTGTCAATGAGATGTTCCAGTTCCTTGGCCTGGGTATTCTGGGGCTCTGTCTGCAGCAGCCCTCGCACATACTTCAGGGCCTTTTCATATTCCTACACTCAGGGAAAATACACGCATTTACACCTTAGTATTCTGTCACTCCTCCTGCCCATCTGAGGGGCCTTCTCTTCTCTCCCTGAGGGCTCCTCCCTCTACCTCCAGCCCCACCCAATGGAGTAGAGTCCACAAACAAGCCCAACTGTTCGGGAGTGATAAGCCTGGGGAGATAACAACCCAAGGCTTGGGCTGCACCCCAATCCTGATGTCACTTGTTTCCCACGCCTTTAGCACCTTGATTTTCTCTCTCATCTCCCTCAAAGAGTCTTATTCTGATATCACCTGTACCTCTGTACCTAACACCACCCCCTGCCTACAGCCCTTCTTCAGCCTTCCTGATGTCCAGGGGTTCTACCCTGGAGAAGGGAAATAAGAGGGTACTGTGGCCCACACAAGGAGGGTGGAGTGGGGAGAAGGAGCCTTTTCTGACCTTGAGCCGGTAGTTCCCCACAGCCAGATAGAAGACATAATCCCGTTGCTCCTCTTTGCTCCCTTTGGGCAGCAGCTCTGAGGTGGAAGAAGGGGAAAATGGTGAATATGGCTTCTCTCTTTTCCTAGTACTTCTGTCCCAGAGTCCCCTTCCACCCTCTGAATCCCTGGACGGTCCTGGGAAAGTCATTGCCTGAGCCTCCATTTCAGCTCTGGTCACTCTCAGCTTCCCAGTCGGAGCCCCAGGGCAGCATGAACTGAGGCTGCCCCAGCATACCACTGGTGACAAACACCCTCAGTATCAATATTACACCTGGCTTATCCAAATGGACTTAAAGGAAACCAAGGCACTGAAGAAGCCAAAAGGCATCTCTCCCCAGTTGTGGCATCTGCTGTGTGTTTTATCTACAGTTGCTTGCTGTCCAGAGTAGTGTTAAAAATCAGTTTGTATTCCTCCCCCTTTTTAAAAATATATTTTACTTTTGTTTTTGTTGTTGAGAATATACACAGCAGAACATATATCAATTCAGCAGTTCCTACACGTACAATTCAGTGACACTGATTACATTTGAGTTGCGTAACCATTCTCACTCTCCTTTTCTAAGCTGTTCCTCCCTCATTAACATAAACTCACTGCCCCACAAGTTTCCTATCTAATCTTTCAAGTTGCTGTTATCAGTTTGATTCCATATAGATAAATCCTGAAAGAGCACAATGCTCAAGCCAAACATTCTTTACTAGTTAAGCTAAACTACTATTTGGTTTTAAGACTTCTGGGGATATTTTTGGTTTAAGGTTTAAAGATTATCTCAGGGAAATAGTTTCAGGGGTTCATCCTCTCCCTTTTTAAAATCAGCTCAAAACTCACCTTCAATTAACCTTCCCTGAATGACCCCACCCAACTCTGGTGCTTTCTTAATTCAGCGACTTCCCAGATGCTTATGTATTCAGTTGTACTCCATGGATTAACCTTGTTGCTGATTAGTTTTGTGTTGTAAACATTCCCAAGTGCCTGTTCTGTCTCCACAACTAGACTGACAATGTCCTCTACACTTCTTTTACAGCTGTACCCTGCTGTTAAGTAAACCTGAAAAATCTGGATTGGCAAAATAGGTAAATGTAGGGTGAAATAATTTACATTAATAAAGATTCTTATTTTTACAGATGTACAGTAAGTTTCCTTTACTAATACATTGATTGTTCGCTTACAAATGATTACCAGAAGAAGGGTGGGTACAGAGAAATTTAAACGTCAAGTATTATGGCCTCTGACAAATGATGACCCATTCTTAAATCAATGGGAAATAAGAGTCCAGTCAAAAAAGCACCATCTGCCCACAATTTTTTTTTAGGACAGTCTTCTGTACCTCTTCAGTGATACCCCCCCAAAAGGTTCTCAACAATAGCTGCTGAATAGGTAACACAGTAGAGGGAAAGAATACAGGGCTGAGATTCACAAGACAGGTCCTTCAAGTACCAATTCAGCCATTAATTGATTAGATGTGTGACCTCAGATAAGTCACTTTCTGAGACAAATTAGACTACCACTGTGGTTAGACTACCAGATCATGAAAGTCCTATGACTCTGCTTATAATGATGGGAGTGGCGATTAGCCAAAAGTACACTGGGAGAAATCAGGCTAAGTATAGCCCTTTGCTGCAGTGAATGTATTGGAAAATAACTGTGAGGTGATTGTACTATAGGGTCCCATGCCAAAAAAGGATCCCAGCACTTGAGACAGTGGGGGTGAATGAGGCCAATGGCAATAGGGAAGGATAGACCCCAATGGCAGCTGGGAAGGGGAGAAGTGTTGGGCTGCCTTAACACCTTACCCTCAAGTAGCACAATGCCTTTACGGATGTCATCATTGTACTTGCTTCGCACCAGGCACCAGGCGTATTCAAACTGCGTGCTCTTGGACACGGAGCCTGCTACCTTCTCAGACTGAAATTTCCTTTCAAACTTCTGCCACAGGAGAGAGGAATCATTTAGAAATGAAGGGAGAGACCATTCTCCACCTGGACCTGGGTGTCCATTTCCCAGCTACACTCCATCTTCCTCAGTCTCTGCTGTATTTTCCTCTCGAGCCCTGGCACTCGGCACCCCAGCTTCGGTTATCTCCATCCCTGGGGCTCAGACATTCAGCCATCGGGGTGTCTCTATGGACAGCTGTCCCCTCTTCTCCCCTCCCCTCATGGTACCGAGCGGAGATGCCACCTAGTGGCAGCTCCAGGCACCGCTTCCCGAGCAGCTGACCCTGGGTGGGTGAACAATAAACACGCTGTCAGAACTGGTCAACAACACTTCACGCGGTCCCTCCCCTGAGACTGCTTTCTTCATCCTGCTCCACCCTGCCAGGCCTGGACCTTTTCCTATCTGCAAAATGGGAATAAGAATAGTGCCTACCTAACAGAGCAACAAAGACTGAGATATTATCGTACGCAACACACTTAACACCGTGCCGGATTTAGTAATATGTGAAATATTATGGTGGTCGCCATCTTCCTCTGTCACTGACGGAGCACTCAAGAACAGGCATTCGCACCTTGTGCTCCCAGCTCCTGCACGAACCCAGACCTCGTCGGTCTTTACACGCCAGACTCCAGGCCCTTAGTCTGAGGCGTGGTGGCTCAAGAAACCACAACTCCCATTAGCCTCTAGGGCAAAGCGGAACCTTTGGGCAAGACCTGGTCGCTGCAGAGGCTGCCGGGAGCTGTAGTTCGGCTTCCCTTGGCAACGCCGACGTTGCGAAGGGGGTTTGGCCCCTAGCCGATTCTCCTCAGGACCCGCCTGTCCAAATCTTCCCCTTCCCTCCCTCGGGGGCAGGCCTCACCAGCAGGTCGTCCACAGACACCAGCTCGTTCAGCACGGCCTCCATGGCCGCCGCCCCAGCCAGTCTCACAACACAGACACTACAGCACCACTCTCCATGGCCCACTGACAGGGGCGGAGTGCCACTTCCGGCGCCGGGCGGATGCGGGCCCCTCCCCTACGCAAAGCCAATCACCTCTGGTGGCTGGCGCCGAACCCGCCCCCCCCTCCCCCCTCCCGCCTCCCAGCGGCTTGGGACGCAGGTTGGAAGAAAAGGCGTTAAAACGCACGATGGGGGTCAGTCGTCAGCGGCTGGCGCACCTCACAAAGTGCAACTCCCTTCCTCGAAACTTTCGTCTTCCTCGGTGCCCTAGCCTATGCCTTCCTCCCCTGAGGCTGCCTCAAGGAAGCTTCAGAGCTTTGTCTTGGTGGCTTGACCCCGGGCTTGGAACAGAGGAAACAGGAGGGTGGAAAGCCATCTAGGAATCACATTATTTTGACTAGTCTAACTCTCCCTCCCCATGAGAAATCTAGGACCCTGGGGGCTACGTGACTTTTGCAGGGCCTTTGCTGACTTACAGTGCCAGAGCGTAGATAACTGAATCTGTTAACCATACACTCGGAGACTGGAGTCCGGTGGAGTTGATTCCAACTCACAGCGACCCCATGTGACAGAGTAGAACTGCCCATAGGGTTTTCTAGGCTGTAGTATTGACAGAGCAGATCGCCACGTCTCTCTCCAGGAGCCCCTGCGTGAGTTTGAAAAGCCAACCTTTCCGTCGCGCCACCACGGCTCCTTAATAATAAAACCAAAGAAAACCAAACCCATTGCCATGGACTCATTCCGACTCATAGGGACCCTATAGGACGGAGTAGAACTGCCCTATAGAGTTTCCAAGCAGCGGCTGGTGGATTCAAACTTCGGTGCGTCTGGTTAGCAGCCAAGCTTTTAACCACTGGCCACCAGGGCTCCTCCTTAATAACAGGGGATGCGAATGGGTATTTAAAGAAAAGGTTTTGCTCCATTACTTACAGAACGGATCCATCTTTCAAATACTATTTAGATAAAGCATCTTCTAGATGTATGCAAAGGGGAAGGCCTGCCATGTGGGGGGTCACAGTCCGTGAGGACCAATGAAAGGGTGGGAATGGGAAAAGCTATTGACTCTGGCATCAGTGTCCTGTGCAGTAATGAGACTGGGTAGTTAGTGATTTTGAAATTCTTTTTACCTTGACCCACCAGTACACATTAGAATGGAAATGCCATGAGGGCAGAGAGTGTATCTTGTTCATCTTTGCATTTCCAGCACTAGCACAGGGCCCAGGACATGGCTGAATACTCAATACTTATTATGTGAACACGGAATAAAACAAACACAACAGTAGAGGGCAGTGCAAATGCAGGGGATTATTATCCAAACGACTTTGACTTTTGCAAAGCTCCTTTAATTTCTTTAATTCTCAGAATAGCCTTGTGAATTAAGTAGGCAAGAGTTTTTCTTCCCTATTTGGTTTGGGCAGTTGAAGTGATTTTGACATAATGAGCTCAGTAAACTTTAAGAGAAACCTCAGATTTCTCCGGGGAACTGGCTCTCATATGACCACTAGCATAATAGTCAAGGAGGGAAATTCACAGTCATTCAAAGATGTACTGAGTACCTAGTTTTGGCTGGGCCTTGGTGTAAGCACAGAGCATAAAACAATGTACACAGTATGAAGCAGACGAGTGAAAACAGGACCTAAGAAACAGGGCAAGCATTGGCAAGGCAGGGAATATAAAAAGGTGAAAAGGGCACTATTTCTATCAGAATGTTACTTTTTTGGGTGGCCTCCTGTACCATATTCATCTGTGCATACTCTACGTCTCTTGGCAAAGGCCTGGCACATGGCAAAATCTTCATCAGTGTCTACTGAATGTGTACACGGGGGAATAAAGAATGCCTTGCTCAATTCTGTGCCAATAGAGATCTTAGGTCTGACTTTGTGTCTTTTGGGGTCTAGGGAACATAGCCATCTGCTTTGGATCACAGAGATAGGAAGTAGTTTCTACTAATCAACATTTAAATGACCTCTTTCCATCTTCTTCTCCAACCAGCACCTTAACGCATACCATCATCATTTGCCTTGATGACTTTGACAGCCACCTCAGTGGTCCCCCTGTCTCCACTGTTGCCCCATTACTATCAATTTACCCTCCAGTAGTCAGTGAGAAAGGTCCCTGGGTGGCACAGTTTGCTGTCAGCTACTAACTGAAAGGCTGGCAGTTAGAACTCACCCAGTGGTGCCATAGAAGAAAGGCCTGGCGATTTGCTTCCATAAAGATTACAGCCAAGAAGACCCTATGGAGCTGTTCTACTCTGTAACACATAGGCCCTTCTTCCACGTGAGTCAGCATTGACTTCATGGCAATGGGTTTGGTTTTGCTTTTTATGAACCAAACACAATTTTCAACTTACCTGAAATCCTTTAATGCCTTCTCATTGCCCTCAGTACAAAGGTCAAAATCTAGTAACACCGCCTATAAGCTTCTTTATGGTTTGGTCCTTGCACCTCATCTATCACTACCTCTCCCAGTCTGTTCTCCAGCCCTACAGGTCTTCTTTCTGAAACTGCACATTCCAGTGGCCTCTGTAATGCAGTCCCCATCTACCTAGAACGCTGTCCCCTTCCCTTCTGATTATCTGATACATTCATTCATTCATTGATTTAATTCATTCAACGAATACGTATCGAGCACCTACTATGTGCCAGCCACTATTTGAGTGCTAGGGATCAGTACTGCATAAAATAAAATTCTTACTCTTAAGGAGCTTACATTTTAGTGGCGAAGACAGAAAAAGTAAATAAACAAGTTGATAAATACCCAATGTCAGATGTAGAAAGGAATTGAGAAAGAAGAGGATACTATTTTAGAAGGGTTGCATAGAGAAGCCCTCTCTCCTGAGGTGATATTTGAGCAGAGTCTTCAAGTGAGTGAATGCGGGAAGAGCAGGCAGATGGAGCAGCAGCTGCAGAAGCCCTCAGCAGGGAGTGGGCAAGGGTTGCTTGAGGCCCAGCCAGGAAGTCAATGTGAACACAGTGAAGTGAACAAAGGAAAACCCGTTGCCATCGAGTCGATTCCGACTCATAGTGACCCTATAGTCTAGAGTAGAACTGCCCGGTAGGGTTTCCAAGCAGCGGTTGGTGGATTCAAACTGCCGACCTTTTAGTTAGCAGGCATAATTCTTAACTACTGTGCCACTAGGGCTCCAAATGAAACCCGTTGCCATGGAGTCGATTCCAACTCAGAGTGACTATAGGACAGAGCAGAACTGCCCCATAGGGTTTCCAAGGAGTGGCTGGTGGATTCGAACTGCTGACCTTTTGGTTAGCAGCTGAGCTCTTAACCACTGCGCCACCAGAGCAAAGGAAAGAGGGACAGAAAATGAGGACAGAGAGGTAGCCAGGAACAGACATTGTAGCGGGAATTTGGATTTAATTTCACGTGCGATGGGAAAGCACTGGAGGGTTTTGAGCAAGGGAGTGAAATGACCCACTGAAAGGATCCCTCTGGCTGCTGTGGTGGCCGAGATGAGAAACAGTGGTGACCTGGGTTACAGTGGTGGTGGAGGTGAAGAGGTACAGGGTATATGTTCAGAAGGTAGGGTTGACAGATTTGCTGACGGATTGGGCATATGAGAGAGGAGACTAGGATGACACATCGGTTTTTGCCCTGATCAACCTGGTGACCTCCTACTCATCTCTGCAATCTCAGCTGAAAGGCTCTCCCTTGGAAAGGCCTTCCAGACTAGGTGAGGTCCCTGCTGAAAAGGAGAACACTGTCAGTATCAGAAGATAAACTGTAATCTGCACATTCTTTTCTTTGCTCGTGCTTGTTTCTGTGAGTCACACCGGTATTGGTTTGGGCACGGTAATAAAATCTGCAGGCAGCCAGAGACTCCATTCTGCTCTCTTAGAGACAGTCTGTAAAGCTTATTGTTCCCCGTACAAAGGAATGCTCACACGTGACATGTGGCCACAAATCACACCCAGGAAGGTGTATTATTAGCTCCATTTGGCCCATGAGGAAACTGGGGCTTGACCTTCTAGTTGTTGAAGGTCATACAGCTAGAAGCTGAGGAGCTGAGATTCAAACCCAAGTCCTGCTCTGCGCTAGGATGCTGTTTTGGTTCTCTAGTGCTGCTACAACAGAAATACCACAAGTGGATACCTTTAAAAAACAGAAATTTATTTTCTCACAGTTTAGGAGGCTGGAAGTCTAAATTCAGGGTGCTAGCTCTAGGGGAAGGCTTTCTCTCTCTGTCGGCTCTGGAGGAATGTCCTTATCTCTTCTGAGCTTCTGCTCCTGGGTGATTTTCATGTACTTGGCATCTCTCTTGCCCCATCTCTGCTTGCTAGCTTGCATTTAATCTCTTTTATAACTCAAAAGAGATTGACTCAAGATACACCCTACAATAATCCTGCCTTATTAACATAACAAAGACAACCCATTCCCAAATGAGTTTATAACTACAGGCATAGAGGTTAGGATTTACAACACAT